CGTTTCGCCCGAAGTTTGTGCGTTTGGACGTACACGTGAGATTTGGAAGCACGAAAGTTTTGGAACGCGTCCCAAACATGTCTTAAAGTTCAATGAAACGGAAAATTCGATAAGCAAACCCTCGCTGGCCGTTTATAACGTGCAAAATATTTTTTAGAATCTCCAACTCGAAGCTCTCCCAGAGAGAAGAAAAGAATACATTTTCGAGTATAAAACGAGTCGAAACTGTCTCTAATTTTACACCGTCTACGCTCGGATTATTAAGAAATTAAAAGAAAAAGAAAAATCGTCTACGACGATTCCAAAAGTTTGCAAAAAACGATAAACTCGAGAGAAGCTCGATTCGTCCGTATTGACCAGAAAATCTTATGATCTCCATCCTCGGATCTCACGGAATTGAGAGGTCAATACGTAAGGGATTTGCAATAACGACAGAGCGTTATGCATGGCGGTAAGCAAGTAGCTCGATTCCAAGCAATTCGCAACGCGGTTACGAGGCTGTTCCCCAAAGTCATGAAAGTGTTATGACATCGGGGCAGGTCCGAGGCGGGCAGTCGCTCGTGCAAACTTGAATGAAATGAGATAGAATAGGCCGTGTGGCGTGGCTTGGGCGGGCGCGCAACGAATTACCGCGTGAGCCGCGACAAATTAGTAAACGGAAGCGTAGAAATTAGTTAGACGCCTAGGGCGGCGCTTCTGGCGCTCGAACCCTCCTCCCTTCCTTCCTTCCTTCCTTCCCTTCTTCCTTCCTTCCTTCCTTCCTTGCTTCACTATACCGAAACAACCGAGTGGAAGAGACTGGAGGCGATTTTATCGATCGTATCTCCCTCCTCGGCCGATTTGAATTATTTGGGAAGCCGGCTTCCAGCTTGGAATAATAATAAAGTGCGGCACGCGCTCGGCCTACGTGCCGTTCATCGATTTGTTGCCTATCCATTATGCATTACGCGCTATATCGATCGTTTCGTTTCGTTTCGTTTCGTTTCGTTTCGAGGCCATGATTTTAAACAATTTCACGTTGAACCGTATCGAGAAATGATACGTCGCCGCAAAGGCATTTATTTCCTCTTACATAAAGGAAAAAAGGAGAAACGTTCGAATTCGACTCAATAGATAATCTTGGTGATCGCGATTTCCGTATGAGTAATATTTTTGGACAAGTATTCGAAGAGTTATCTCGTATTTAACTCAAGTTCGAAAACAGGGAACAAGGCAGAGGCTCGATGAAAACTTTTCATCATAGGCTCGCCGTCTAATTAAAGCCTCTTTCGCCCGTTCCTCGTTCCTAATTAAATTTCTAAGCCCGTGCCCGTTCGACGATATTAAACTTGCTTCGATTCGATTAAAATTAAGGGAAAAACTAAAGCATGATCGCAGTTGAAAATCCTTTCTCACCCGCCCGTTCGTAACGAGTTGTTTTATCCGCAACACGCCGCTGACACGCCGTTTAACCGTATCCATCTTCATTTTAACCGGGGACGCTTGGTGGAAATAGTTTGGAACATCGGGAAATTGCTCGAGTTTCCGGTTACGCGGTTACTGGGTACAAGAGTACGGAGCCACGCAACGGTTTCAAGTTAGATCGATTTTGCACTTTCTCGTAAACATCAATTAGAGGGTTCGAAAAAGAGAAACTTTATCGATAAAAGGGAAGGAGGGGAGGAGGGGGGGGGGAAGGCACGCGGAGAAGAAACGTCTATTTTTACCAACTATTTTCGATCGTGGCAATAAATAAAAGTACGAAGCAGTTTGACGAGTAGAAAAGGAATAAAGCGAAGAAACGAAAATTTTTAAATTTTCCCCTCGACTCGGGGAATCGTGTGCCGGGGATTATTCAATCGAAGCAAAGAAACGTATTCATCTTTTCCTCCTCTCTTGGAAACTCTTAGACCTCTTAGAAATCAAACTTCTCTTTCCCCCCGCAAGAGAGTCGAAGTAATTTGCATTATCGCGAATTCGCGCGAGTTTTATACATCCTCCCCTCTCCCATGCTTATCAGCAGATAACAGCAGACTGAACAAACACTCGGCTTGAACGCAAACATTAGTTAAAACTTAATCGAGTTAGACACGATTCCGGCCAAGTTTCTCATTTTATCAGCACCTCCCCCCCCTAACCCCCCTCCTTAACCAAGTAAGTTTCGTAAACATTTTTCGCGAAAATGAGACGAAAAAATTCTCGAAACGGTATTCCTTTAAAAACGAATCGCCTCTATATAATAAATCGCTCGATGAGCGAGCGAGCGGAACGATATATCGATCTTTTCCCCTCTCCCCCCCCC